CACATACTTGGCTCTTTTCTTAGCGCAGCTACAGCAGGAAGGTAAAACACTCTTCATGGTGCGTCCACATGAATGTCACAGTGATAATGCTGGAAATTGAGCTCAGCTGAATGTCTCTGCAGGTTATTCCATATTTGTGATCCGGGGAAGCCTGCCGGAATGTGAAGCCGATCAGATTTTGCGGATCATGCGAGTGGAGCAGCAGCAGCGGCCCAAGCTGATCGGAGAGGACGAGGCCCAGAGGTGCACTGACCGTCATCACACAACATACAGAACAAGACAAGAATCTTCACCCTCCTCTTGTGTAGTGGGTCAGTTTGACCCACATTCAGTTACCTTTACAAAAGAGGAACAAAAATAATTAACCGTTCAATTTGTAAACTGTTTGAAACATACGTTAAAGTGTTTATTTCTTCTTGCTCATGAATGTGCATGCAGAGTTGCGACAGATATATTTTGTAAAGGCTGAACACATTTTGATGACTATGATGATGTTAGAATTTTGCCCCATCAGTTTCCGTACAATTCACCAGAAATCAACACTTTAAAAAACAGCTAAGAGTTTATTGTAGCTTGTAAAACATTAAAATGTGAAATGAATGAGAACTCTTTAAACTTAACACTCAAAGTTTACTTGAAATGGAAGACTCTGGAAGAACTGGAAGTTTGAGTTTCACTGTCAAAAAGTCAGTGAAAGGATGTTTTTGGTAAATAGCTTTTCTGGATCTGAGTTACTAGTCTTTTTCAGATGTTGAAAATAAGTGTGATTAAACCCATTTTACCTTCACAAGGGTTTGAGAAGCAGACATAAGAAAATGTAGAGGCTATTTACACAAACTAAATAGCAGTAAGTACTATTTACACCAATTACCAATAATGTTAGATACGATTTATACTTTATTTGTAGTCATTTGCACCTCAGTAGACATAAAATGTTTTTAATTTGTGCTTGTGCAGCTAATTTGAACAAAATTAGAGCAGTTCATAATTTTTAATATTTTAAATTTAGTCACTGACAAGCTACAGTAGGGGTTTTATGTAAAAACAGGCCTTTTGTGTTTTTCGTAGTGTTGTTTTTTGGCAAATTGCATGGAAATGTCAGTGTGACCCACAACACAAATGTAGTATACATAATTTCAGCACAACAGGAGGGTTGAATACATGAGCAGTAATCCACGGCTGCATGTGCATCAAATGATTTCAATGCATGACACAGAGGAAGAGAAGCACGTGATGCACACACAGCCCCGCTCGCGTGCAGCTGTCACTGATGGGTTTGAGCATGTGCTGTTGATCAGGATGTCAGTGCAGCAGACGTCAGACCCCGGACACACCGCAGATGAAGTGCTGCTGGATGAGGATGAGGAGGAGCTGAGGAAGGCTCTGGCTCTTAGCAGACAGGACGTGGAGGTGGAGGACGAGGAGGCCGACCTGCGCAGAGCCCTTCAGCTCAGCATGCAGGGTGAGAAACACACGTCAGGTGTGTGCATTCTTTCATTACAAAAATAGGCAGAACAATCGGGGGAAACGCATCTAATTGCATTTTTTAAATTTGTATTAGATTCAAGTTTTTTATTATTTTTTTTATTTTATTATTTTTATTATTTTATTTTTATTTATTATTTTATTATTGTCACTAATGTAATAATCTATAAAACATTTACATTTAGTCATTTAGCAGACGCTTTTATCCAAGCGACTT